AAAGGGATAGAATCAAGATCACATGAAGGGTTAATACCACTTTACAAGGCCTTGGGAAGGCCACACTTGGAATCCTGCATTCAGTTTTGGTCGCCACGATGTAGAAAAGATGTGGAGACTCTAGAAAGAGTGCAGAGAAGAACAACAAAGAGGATTAGGGGACTGGAGGCTAAAATATATGAGGAACTGTTGCAGGAACTGGGAATGTCTGGTTTAATGAAAAGAAGGGCTAGGGGAGACATGATAGCATCTTCCAATATCTCAGGGGTTGCCACCAAAAAGAGGGAGTCAAAACTATTCTCCAGGGCACCTGAGGGTAAAAGAAGAAGCAATGGGTGGAAACTAATCAAGGAGAGAAGCAACTTAGAACTGTGGAGAAATTTCCTGACAGTTAGGAGAATTAATCAGTTTCGATTTGTTGGGTATGAGCCAGGAACTAAAGGGTACAGGTTTACAGATGGTACTAAGAGAGTAGGGCTCTCAAGATCTGCTAGCTTTGCAGAACAAAACAACTGGAACACATGCTGACCAGGAGGTGTTGATGCCAATGCAGAGTTCTAATCTGTCGGAAGATGAGACCGAGTCAGATAAAGATGCAGAAGAGGATAGAAAGCACAGATGACATAGATGTAGAAGAGGAGAGACCGGCATACAAATGAAATAAAACTCAAACTCAAACTTTTCAATTCTTTAAAACCTGCGTGCCCCAATCTTCTCTGTAACAGGTATATACAATTGCCATGTGTAGGAGCCTTCTTAAGTACATGTGCAGAATTATTTCCTTGCATTCCCAGAAAGGCCATCCTTTCTAACGCCTTGTGCAGATGCCTGTCCATCTTTCTTAATGGTATATGGTCCCCCAGCAAATACTATTTCATAGCCCTGCCTGTCTGACACGGGTAAACTCAACAAATTGTGCTCTAAAGCAGATACATATAACATGTTGTACAACGTAGCATCCATTTCTGGTACCTACACATTGCCTTTCCCTTTTACAGCATCTCTCTGTTCGTCAGCCAGTCTAACCCACCTTTGGCTTGCTGCTTTCAAACCACAAAACACACGTGGATTGTTAACAATATGCTGGCTCTCCCCACCGTCCAATAGCCATGTATTCCTGGTATGTTCAGTTGTTGACGCTGCCAGGGAAAACGATGCTGGGGAACTGCTCCACATTAGCTGCTGAGATCCACGCCCTTGTCTCCCTGCTCCTCTGTTCCTCCTCTCAGGAGAGTCTCTCTGGAGATGCTAAGTAGAACCGCAGGTGTGGCCTCTCTTCACAAAATTAACATTCTCAGTTGCTCTGCCGGCATCCTGGCATCCTGTTGCAGATACTGGTCTGTGCTGAACCCTCTCTCCTCCTTTTCCTGGTCTCCTTTCCAGCTGTTTCTGCTCCTCCTCCAACAACTGACAAGTTAAATATGCCATGGTTAAATCCTGTTCTTGCATGGACTCTAGACTAGTCACGAAAATGTCCCATGAACTGTTTAAGGAATTAAGCACTACATACACCTCATGTCATTCCCCTTTCTTCCAACTCAAGGAATGCCCTTCTCATATTCTGCAGATGTGTGGACATTCACTCTCCCGGCTTCAGCTGTGCCTTATACAGTTTCCTAGTCAGCAACATCTTACTGCCTGCAGTGTCTCTCACATACACACTGCGCAACGCCTCCCAGCAATCTTTCACAGACTGGAGACCACTCACGTGTAGCAACTGACTGTCTTCTAAAGCAAGAATTATGCTGGCCAATGCTTTTTTTCATTTCTCCTCTGGTCACCATCATCCAGGACTCTTGGTGGATTAGTAACAATCATCCACAACTCCTCCCTTTGTAGTTGTATCTCCATCTTCACATTTCAAGAGAGGTACTTTGTCTCATTCAACCCAGACACTAGGAAACCTCCTCCCATGATGCTGCCTGATGAACACTATTTAAACCACTTGCTCTCGTGCAAGCTCCTCGCCCCTGGGTGTTTACATGGTCCAGTTATAAAATCCCCCTTTGTTATGGGAACAGTCCCTGTTCCTGCCTAGCACCTGCAGTGGTGGCCTTGGTGAGGTTCACGCTCTAATGGCCCAGAGGTGAAAGCTTAGCCTTCCGTTTCGCCCTCCCGCCTCCTGCTTGAAGAAGCTCAGAAGAAATAAAGTGATTCGATCTTGATCAGGATGATAAGGTGCTAAAACCATTCCTCAGGTTTAACCCTCTTCCTCCTTCACATGTAACCAGCTTGTAGAAAAACGATCACTTATCAATTATGGGGTATCAGCTAGAGTGGGGCTGGACAGGCTGCAGGCTCTGCCCCCCCCCATCATTCTTACCTTCTTTTCTATGCCCCTCCTTCTCTGCACCGTCCCATTGTGCATATTCAACGGGAATAAAAGTCAAAAAGGTAAAATGGGATTTTGATCCCAAAACTCTACTGATCCAGTAGTTAAGCCTTAGGCTACACCCTACAAATAATTTACAATATTAATAGGCAAGCAATTTAGCACGATGCACAATTCTGGCTGTTGTATGACAACATCAGGGTGGTGGTAGATGAGGAGCGGGAGAGTTGTGTTTGCATGAAGCTGTAATAGCTAAAAAGCCACATTCTGATCTTCTCCATCCCTAGTTACCTGATGCAGTGGGTGCTAACAGTGTCGTGCATTTTGTATGCCTCGCGATCGATAAGTCTAGTTTAGAGAGAAAAACACAAATATAAAGCTATTGTGGCAATAATTGTGGCAACTCAACGCTGTCTCATTCTGGGAGTGGGGATGGGATGAAGGTACACACTGTGAGCCAGTTCCCATGCATTTGCGTTGCCATCACATGACGGGGGCTTCTGCACGGGTCACAACTTTGAGAATGGGCAGGTTTTTTTTTTAAGTTCCCCTTGTTCAGCACTGTGATAGCTTTGAATGAATGAATGAATGAATGAATGAATGAATGAATGAATGAATGAATGGATGGATGTAACCTAAGAACGATCTATGTGTTGGACAGTGAGTGAATGCCAGGACCGTTAAGTGAAGTCATTTCCCCCAGTCGGCATTTTTTGCTGGAATGGAAACACCAGACGCTGTCAAAAAATGTAACACATTTCAGTCAGGTGACCAGGGGGTGTAGAAATCCTTGCAAAGGCAAACCATTTGCCAAACGCCCCAAGTGCGATCATGGGGATTCTGCGGTTGTCCTAAGTCCAAAAGCATCATAAGTAGCTGTGGGGAGGGAGAGTTATTAAGTGGCCAGTCATAACTTGGGAACCACTTATACTCACCTTTTAAAAGATGTCCCTTCACTTCTCTTTCTAGCTGCAGAAGCATCCTTCTTTTCAGATGGCTTTTGTCCAGGAAGTTGGGTCGTTTTTATCCCTCATCTCCCAAGTGCAGAATGAAACGTCTATATGGAACCTCTTCCTGATGACCCCAGATATCATCCATGGTTCTACCGTAGTCAGAGACATGGTTGATACTCTTCACGACAGGAAGAGGTAAAAGAGATGGAAGCTGGAAACTGGTGTGCATAGGATTTCTCTTACAGAGCTTGTTGACCGTTACACAAACGAGCCCGGTTTTGATGAACTAGGATAATTTAAGGGTTGTTTTTTTTCTAAACATCAAATTGTGTCCAATTATTCCACAATGGATGGTGATTACTTCCATATGAAATTAAAATAAGGTGGTAAAATTTGATCATTTTATAGTGAGTTTATAAACTATGGTTTTTTTATGCACGATGAAATTAATTTTGGTAGCAAAAAGACCAGAATTATTATATTTATGAAGAAATATGCCTTATAATGAATGGAACATTGAATCAATTGACTCTGTTTCCTTTATCCCATTTTTTTTTATGGCGGCTGATAGCTTTCGGTGGCACCGTTTCACCACTGGCTGCCTCTTGGCAACTGCCATTTTCTCTTCCCAAAGTGCATTAGGCAATGGTTGGAAGAAATTTGTTTGACAATTCCCATACTGTCAGATTCTTTTTATTGTGTGCATCTGTTTAAGTCAGTATTGACTCCTGAAACTGCCTGAAGAAGTCCCTGAAGTCAGGAAATGTCCCCCCCCCCCCCGACCTGTAGTGGGGAAAAGAAGAAAGAAGTATATGGAAGAGAATAACTGAAATAAATATGACAAACAAATTAATACATTCTGCAACATTTCCCCAAAGGCCTCTTCATACACAATTTCACTGGTGTTGTATTACAGGAGAAAGCCACTGGTGAGAAAGCTGCTTTTAAACCAGTCCCTTTGGGCTCTTACATTTTTTTTAAAGCAGAAAAGGGAAGTGGAACAAGGGGCTGGCTGTAAATTTAATGTGTCCTCCCTCCCCTCCCCCCGGCAGCTGTTAATTCTAGTTCTTTCAGGATTTTTTCAGAGACATTGTTTAAACACTTTTAAAAAGTGCATATCATAGAGGAGCTGAGCATGTCCCTTACATGGAAAAACTGCTATGAGCCGGGATTGGCTCACGCCTGATTTCATTGCATCCTCATATTTAGGACTTTTCCTTTCTTCTTTTAAAGGTTATTTGCGAAGAGGAGTAACAGTCCCCAACCGATTCTGAATGTGACTAGCTGGCTGTCTACTTTGAACTGTTCAGAACAAGGTGAGACTAGTCTATTTGTTGTACCTGATCAGAGACCTAAGTAATGTTAATTCACTTTTTTAGTTACCAAATTTCCATATCACCCATTACACTTGGTTGACTCTGGATGGTTTGCAAGTAAAACAAAATCATATAAAAGCCATAGTTTAGAACAAAATTAAAAACCAAATTGAAACGGAGTTAATGGGACTATTGAAATGTTAATAGATAGAGGAAGTACCTTCAGCCCACCAAACCCCCCCCCCCCCCCCCGTCCAATGCTTGCACAGACCCCCATGCCAATTGGCAGAGCCAACCTTGAAACCCTTCTAAAAGGCTAGGGGAGTGGTGCCCTATCTAATCTCTGGGGCAAGGTGTTCCACAGGGCAGGGAACAATGGCAGAGAAGGGGCTCTCCCCACTAGTTGAATTTCTTTAAGTGACGGGACCTACAACATAACTTCCCTGCTTATGTAGGTGGGATGAGTTGGTTGAATGAAATGGAAACTCTAGTAGGTAGATCCAAATACTTGTATTACAGGTTGGTAATAAATCATAGGACATGGAGGCTCAGTAGCTAAGAGCTGAGCTTGTCGATCAGAAAGGTCGGCAGTTCGCTGGTTTGAATCCCTAGTGCCGTGTAACAGAGTGAGCTCCCATTACTTGTGCCAGCTTCTGCCAACCTAGCAGTTCGAAAGCATGTAAAAGTACAAGTAGAAAAATAGGGACCAACTTTGGTGGGAAGGTAACAGCATTCTGTGAACCTTTGGCATTTAGTCATGCCGGCCACATGACCATGGAGATGTCTTCGGGCAGCGCTGGCTCTTTGGCTTTGAAACAGAGATGAGCACTGCCCTCTAGATTCGGGAACAACTAGCACATATGTGCAAGGGGAACCTTTACCTTTACCTTAAAGTAAAGGTCTTGCTTTAGGTCTCTTACATAGTTAATTGAATATGGTGAATTTTTCCCCCAATACATTATTCAGCAAAATAAATGCTAACATTGCTATACAATATTGCAGCCAATGTATAAGATTCTAATTTTAAATATTACTCCATTAAATTTGAAAACAGTTCCCTTCATTCATTCTTCCTGATGAACACTGGCAATGATATGTCAGTCCCAATTTATCCAACTAGATTTCTCAATAAGCAAACAGATACCGCATAATCACCTGAAACAACCCTGAAAACAAATATTAGCCAACTTAAGGTGGAAAACATGCTTTGTTTTTTTCTGGAAAACCATAAAAAAAATCCCAGATTGTATTGATGAGGTTTATTCCAATGCTATTATTATTTTACAGGCAGAGAGATGGAACATACATTTTATGTAATAAAATAATAGTGCCCTCTCACAGTTGAAGGATAATAATTAAAACTAGTAATTTAACTTGTTTATTTGTCGGTTTGTTTTTTTAGATAAAAATAATTTGATAGTAAATTACATTTGTGAACAACGCATTTCCTCGGAAAAGATTCTGATTTTATTTGCTAAAATGAAAGAAGTTCTAAGGTGAGTTCTGAGTTAAAATTATTCTTTCTCCTGCTATAAAATGTTACTTCAAAAGGAATGGAAACTACTCTCTTTTCTTCCAATCACGTGGGTATTTCTCTAGTTCCTCTGATATTGTTAAGACAGAAGGTATAAAAATGTACCAGTATTTGACTGAAATCCTCAATTTACGATAGAAATGGAGCCTGACCTTTCGTATTGGAAATCAAGGATTACATTAAATGAAGTACATAATTAACCACCTCTCTGTCATTGCTGTCCCCAATGCATTCGTTCAACAAATGCACGGGCCATTAGGTAGAACATCATGGGACTCAGGGGTGGAGGAAACAACGGGAGGCTTAGTCCAGACACAAGGACACCAAGGAGGCCTCGGCCTCCCGCTGAGATATCCTCCATCCCAGCCTCCTGAGTTCTGCTAATCCCCAGAAGGTGAGTGTGGGATTGTGAGGGGTGGAAGAGAGCTGTTTGGAATTTGGTGGGCAGACAAAGCAGGCCCAGGGTCTTTGGAGATCCAGTAGGACAAGATGGAGGCGGGGGGGGGGGATAGATATGTGGGTGTGTTGCAGTGTCTCTGTAAGGTTAAGAATTCTCTACAACCCAGGCATTCATCAGGTGAGGGACCAGGTTGGGTTACTGCCCGGTAGCTGCCCAATACCCCCCCCCCCATTTTCCTGCCCCCTTCCAGATCCTGACCTCTGTGTAGTTGGAAGTGGGGGGGGGGGAGAAGGCTCAGCCCTTCCTCCTCCATGCCCTGAAGTTCATTCCAGCCGCTGTCCAAGAGAGGCTTCCAGAGGGAGTGACAGTCGGAGAAGTTTGGCCAGAGGGAGAAAGAGTCTCTCTTAGGACGGTGGAGCTCCCTTCGCAAAATGCGTGGCTGAAGTCCGAAGGGCGCTGGAAGTGGAGCCTCTCGGGGCTGCTGAGTCCTTTGACTACGGGGGTGGCAGAGGGAGCCTTGGTGGGACTGAAGGCTTTTGGCTAATGGGGAGGAAGGGAACATTGCTGGGAGTGCCTTGGGAGAAGAGAAAAAACTGGGTCAGGAACCATGAAAGACCATATCTGGCATTTTTCATGTTTGATTGGAATTTAAGACCAGTCATAAGCATAAGCCGTATGTTTAAGAGCAAAATATGATTTGTTAAAAATAGAAACAAGCAAGGTGTGAGGAAGAGATGAGTGGAAAGACAGGTTATTAAAACACTATTGGAAGGGGAAACAAATCTCATGGCATTTCATGCCATTTTCATTTTCTCTGTTCTGTTATAAATGATGCCCTCTCTATCTTTTTATTACAGGAACCTTTTAGCTCCTGATTTTGCTGATGAAGATTTTAAGCCTGACTATTTTTTAAAGAATTTCCAAAGAAATACAAACTCTCCGAATAGCTTGAAGAAAATGCCATTATTTGACTTCAAGGAAACTCAAAATATCCACAATTTAAATAGGAGCATCAGGGACATCTCATTTTTAAATAGTATTTTTAAAGCCAGAAAGGCATGGCAAAGTGTTAAAATGAGTAATGTCCTCAAATTATCTTTCCTGCCTGAAAAATATAGAAAATACTTGACCTCAGTGGAAGAAGTGCCATCATTGTTAGTAAACTTTCTGCTTAAACCAGCAACAACTGAAAATTTTCCTGAGAACCTCCTGGTACTTGAGAAAATCTTTAGTATCGTAACAAATAGCAGGACAAACCGTAACTACCTTTTGATCTCTTCTCTGACCAACCTGATGCAGAAAATCCAAAATTCCATCAATGAATCTCAGTGGAATGAATTCAACACTTATTGGCATATTGCTGAAAAATTGAGGTCTGCAAAATGGAGTGATACAGACATCCTTATCTACAAACAGATTTTAGATATATTACATGACAATCTCTACGCCAATCATGATAACTTTGGACTTCCTTTGAATATAGAACTTGAGCAAATGATTAAATTTGTAAACCATTTATTGAAAAAGCATGATGCAGGGAGCATCAAGGCCGCAAATGTTTCAATGGCTTTAAATGCTGTTCTTAAAAGTTTACAAGTGCTCGAGGACCTGGAGAAAAAATACGTCATTGTTAATCCGCTAATGAATACCAACAATGAAACTGTACGGAAATTATTTCAAATAATCAAGAAGGATATAGAGATACTTTCTGATCTCAGTCAGAAAAAAACATTTAATATTAACAAAACTGATACCCTCCTCAGATTTTCACAAGCATTTTCACCTTTGCTGGATTTATATATGACTCCAGTGTGGCATAATTCTCCGATACAAGCAAAAATATTGCAACTCTTGTATTTAGCACCAAGCCTTCTTCAAATCGGAAACATTCAGGCTGACAACAGATTCTCAGACTGCACTGTCAAAGATCTCCATCTCATTGCAATTGAAGTGTTTTTCAATAATGCCACACTAAAGGAAGCCTTAAGAGAAAGAAAATGTGATTTTCTCTTATCTTCTCTGGATTTTGAAAACCAAACAACCTATGACTATATATTTACCCAATTGCTTCACCTGACAACAGAGAGTCTCAAACCGGCATCACTTTTTGAAATAATCCAGGGAAACAAAAGTAAACACTGCTCAGGTGAATGTGTGTGTCTCATCAAATTATTAGAAGTTTCATCCAGTTTTCTGTCCAAATTAATTGGGATCCGTAAAAATCAGAATTCCTGGCTAGACAAGATTGATAAAAATCTAAGTGCCTTGTCTCTTGATCTGTCTCAACGTAATCTGACTTGCAGAGAACCATTGCTTAGCAATATCATTAACAAAATTTCTGCTTTACACATTCAGAGTCCTTTTATTTTTAAAGGAACAGTAGAAGTTATTCAAAATATCCTGGATAACCCATCATTTTGGAATCAAACATTTGTGCCTTCTTTTTTGCTACATAATAAACACCAAAAGATTGTAGCAAAGATTTTACAAATGAGCAAAAATGTGGTTCATCAATCAAAATGGAGTAATTTTTCAGAGATCTTGAACAAGACTGCAGATATATTGCTCTCAAAACAGAATGTGACAAATACAAAGCAGTATATTCAACTGCTAGAAATGTCCAGAAAAGCACTAATTCTTGTTGGCATTGGATTAGCCAACAAGGAAAAGAACCCATACAAACTCCTTGAAACTTTAAGATGGGGCATGAGAGTTTCCTATTTCGAAGACATATTAGATATGTTAAGATTGTTCCTAAATTCCAGTTCTGACATAGATTACCAAATTTATTTTAGAAAAAATATTAATACTTTTTTATCACCTTTTGATGCTCTTTTTCAAAGACTTTTCTACATTAATCCTTCTCCAGAACAAATCAAACACACATTAAACAAAACCACAAGAGTATCAAATCAATTGTTTTTAAATAGGATCAACTTCAAACTTACAATGATATGGAAAACTATCCAGAAGATGATGTCTATAACAACTACCCAATTTCCAACGGAAATACCATGGGCTTTTGATTCGAGAGAAGAAATTCCTTTGACATCTTCAAATTTGTTTCTTAAATCTTCAGTAATGAAAGCCATTCTGAAGCCATTCTTGACCCCTCAGAATAACTATCATAGTAAAACAAATGTAAACTTGATTATTTATCTTTCAAAATTACTGCAAAGAATCCAAAATACTGATAAAAAATCCTGGTCAACTGAGTTGAAGACCTTTGTAAATATTTATAGAAAACTACAACCGGTAATGCATAGCTCACTTTTTTTAAATAAATTATATAAACATCTTTCTTCACTGAATAATGCTTCTGGCCTTCATTTTAACTCAGAACTGCAAGGGTTAACTCAATTTTTATCCTATGTACCACCAAAATATAATGAAGAAAACCCATATATTAACACTTCAGAACAAATTAATGCTGTTGTTAGGAAGCTATTATTGCAGCAAAGTTTTAGGCGTCAATTTAGCATTAGTCAATTAAAAACCATTCTCCCATTGGCTAATAATAGCCACAAAATCTTTGAAAATATTTATGACATACTGAATGAAGGAGCAAGGATACTTTCTGACAGCAAGTTGGAAGAAACTAATAAAGGAAAAATTGCCACCCTGTATGGTTTTTCACAATTTCTGTTTCAAAAGGAATTCAGTGAATCTTTCTTAGGGGATAGAAATTTAGCTGAAACAAAAACAGTGGATATCTTATATTTAACTCTAAGTCCATTATTACATAGTTGGACCAACAAAACGAGTGCGCCACATAATTGCAATGCTCAAGATATAATTCACATAATTTTTCAAATGCTGTTTAGAAATCTCTCTCTCTCTGAAGCACATAACCAAAACCATTGTGAACTGCTTTTCTCTTCCATGGATTTTGAAAAGAAAACAAATCAAACGTTTATTGACTTCTTACTTTTCTCCATAAGAAATTTCCAGCAGACACAGTTAATAAATCTTTACCAAAAAAATAATGTGCATTTTTCAAATGACTTGTTATGCCTCATCAAATCACTACAATTTTCCTCTGGCTTGCTTTTGAAAATGAATATACTCTTTGATTTCCAACATCCTTGGATGCAGGAGATGTATGCATCTTTAGCAAAAATTTCTAAACAATTACCATCAATTAATTCAACTTGTTTCATCCCAGTTCTTGATGATATAAATGATGTTACTTATAACCCTTCAGAAAGTCCCTTGCTGTATTCAGGAAATGAAACAGAATATTATATACAAAATTTCATTGACAAATTAATAGACTGGGATGAGTTAGCAATATTCTTTAAGCAGTTTCAAGATTTTGCATATTTGAACATTCCTGCGAATGAAGCCACACAAGGAAATGAAGAGGAAATCTCCATTCCATCTAAAAGTGATTTTTCACCAATCTGGACTACGTTGTCCAAATGGTACCACGAGGAAACTGAGAATGCGAGAAATGGCTTGGAAATGATGGGGAAAGTTCTGGAGAACAACAAATCAGTTCCAGAAATATTTAATGCCAGTATTTCTATTTTAAATCATTTGGATTTGCTAAAGGAGCTTAAAGCAAATCCAGATCCAAATTTGCCGTCAAAAAGAAGTCAGCTGCCATATAAATTTGATCACATAAGGCATCCTTTTCTGATGATCGCAGAAACACTTCTGAACAAGACATTTTGGAAGGAATGGGAACAAGCACAATCTCCAAGCAATTTGATTGCACAGTAAGTAACATCTTTCATAATTATTTGAATAAAGTGAAATCCATTCTATTTTTTTTCAGCAGAAAAGAAATATTTTTGAGATGAGGTCCGACATAAGAAATAATATTGTTTAAAATGTTCAGAATGATGCAAAATTACTGACGACTGGTTCGTAATTCTTTTTAAAAATGTATGTTTATTTATAATTGACAGGATGACTTGATTATAGAGCAGAGAGAGCATTCATATATACACTTGTGTATCTTTTGGTAACCTCACATGATTACCAAAATTCATTTTCTGATCAAATAGAAATTGTTCTATTTCCTCTTTGTGTTGAGTTAGAGCTGGGATGGCGAACCACAGGTGGCAAGCAGAGCCATTTGTCAGGGCACGCGAGGCTGAGTTCAGCCTTTTTTAAAGACATTTTTCACCCTCCCCAGGCTCCATAGGCTTTATAGGAGCCTGGGGAGGGTGAAAAAAGCCCCTCGCCCCCCGGAGGCCCTCCGGAGGCTTCAGGAGGCTTCCCTGAAGCCTCCGGAGGACTAAAAACCACCCTACAAGCAAACCGGAAGTTCCATGACGCCTTCGGAGGATTAAAAAGGACCCTCCGAGCAAAATGGAAGTGACTTCCAGTTTGCTCATAGGGTCGTTTTTTGCCCTTCGGAGGCTTCAGGGAAGCCTCCTGAAGGTCCCTGAAGCCTCCGGAGAGCCTCCGGGAGGGGGGGGGCTAGAGAGACTGTTTTCGCCCTCCCCAGGATCCTATAAAGCATCTGGAGCCTGGGGAGAGCAAAAAAAGCGTGGAAAAATGGGGGAGAGTGCCTCTCATGCACGCATGCGCACTGGGGGGGTTGTGTGTTGCATTATGGGTACGGCCTGACCCCCCTGCACTCCCCCCTTATGGCACGTGAGCCGAAAAAGGTTCGCCATTGCTGAATTAGAGCATCGAATAACAGAGTTGGAAGGGACCTTGGACTATTCTAGTCCAACACTCTGTTCCAGCAGGAGACCTTATACTATTCTGGCTAAATTGTTGTCCAATCTCTTCTTGAAAACTTCCAGTGATTGAGCACTCACAATTTCTGAAGGCAGAAATTTCTACTGATTAATTGTTCTCACCATCAGGAAATTTCTCATTCGGTTGGATCTCTCTTTAAGGACCTTCCACCCACTGCTTCTTGTTGTGCCTTCAACTGCTTTGGAAAATAGTCGACCCTGTCTTCTCCGTGAGAGCCCCTCAAGTGCTGGAAGGCTGCCCTCACGTCACTCCTGCTTCTCCTCTTTATTTGACTAGACACACCCAATTCAGGGTACAGGTTAGCTCCAGGCCCCTAATTATCTTCCATTCTTTCTAGGACTTCAGCATCTTTTTTGTATTGTGGTAACCAGAACTGGCTACAGTATTCCAAGCGTGGTCTTACTATGTAGTGTAAAGCAGTACTAACACTTCACACTATCTTGATACTATTCTTCTATTGATGCATGTTAGGATTGCAATTTCTTTTTCTTTTTTTGGCAGCTGCAGCACACTGCTGGCTCATACCTAAGTGGTTGTCCATCAAGTCACCTAGATCCCCTTCACTGTTACTGTTGTTGAGCCACTGATTTTATATTTGTGTATTTGGTTTTTCTCGCCGGTGTAAAGCCTTACTTTTCTCACCAATGAATTGAATTCAGACAAATGGTTGTCCAGCCTCTTTTTGAAAGTCTCCAGTGATGGGGCACCTACAGCTTCTGATGGCAAGCTGTCCCATTGCCTCCCTGTCAAGAAGTTTCTCCTTAGTTCCAAGCTACTTCTCACCTTGGTTAGTTTCCAACCATTATTTCTTCTCTTGGTATATTTTCTGCAGTGTGCGGCAGCTGCCAAAAAAAAGAAAGAAAGAAATTGCAATCCTAACGTGCATCAAGAGAAGAACAGTATCTAGATAAATTGAAGACTTTCTTTTAATTGCAAACCATTTTTAATGCGTGTGATTTCACATGACTGTTCTGTTCTGTTTTGTCCCAGGTTTCTGTTTTCAGAATTTGAAAATGTCTTCCTAAAAGCATCTGATAATAGTAATGTCTCATCATATTTCATTTGCATAATGAACATGTTTCAAGGGTCAGACGATGGATTATCAGGTAACCCTTATTTCCATAATAGCGTACTTTTCTCTTTAAATCTTCCCTTTGTGAAAGAGTTTAATAGCAACTGGGTGCTCTATCAGGATACTGATGGCAGTTCATACCTAGATAGCAGCCAGGAAGCCTGATCAAAAAGAATCCCACTGGGTCTGTTTGCCCCCACATTTAATAAACATGCACCTCCTCTTTACACTTTAGGACCAATAGTAACAAAAGGCTTAAGGTAACTGCAGTATATTAGAATTGGAATTCTTTATTGGCCAAGTGTGATTAGACACACAAGGAATTTATCTCCAGTGGATAAGCTCTCAGTGCACATACAGCAATAGTGGCAGATCATATAACAACAACAACAACAATATAAAATAATTAAACATCTGGATAACAGATTAAATGGATGGAAAACCAAAGCTTTGCATGGACAGTACTTGAAAACATTGAAAAAAATGCAATAACAACTTGACATGGGCATGGCTTAACATGGGAACCATCAAGAAAGAAACGGAAGGTTTAATCCTGGCTGCTCAAGAACAAGCACTACAAACTAAGGCCATGAAAGCAAAGATACAAAAATCCACTGAAAACCCAAACTGCTGATTTTGCAGTTGAAACTGTTTCACATTTAATATGTGAGTGCAGCAAAATCCCGCAAACTAATTACAAAGCTAGAGATGATCCAGTTGCAGAATTAATCCACTGGTCATTATGTAAAAAATATGATATATCTGTACCCGAAAAGTCATGGGAGCACAAAGTGGAAAAAGTCACCAAAAATGGAACTGTGAAGATCTTGTGGGCCTTTCGAACACAGACGGATCGTCATTTGGAACACAATACGCCAGATGTCACAGTTGTCAAAAAACCAAAGCATAAAGTTTATTGATATCGCTGTACCAGGAGATACCAGAGTCGAAGAAAAAGAACTGGGAAAAATCCAAAAAATCTGCGACTTGGCCATCGAAACTGCGT